TTCCAATACGCGAGCACCGACATGGATAAGGTGCTGCTCAAGTACACCGAGTACAATGAACCCCATGAAAGTAGGACTAACAGCGATATCGTTGAGGTTAGACTTGATTTGGTTTAAGTTTTACTTCATGTTTACATTATCTTTGTATATGACTTGTAATAACAGGCACTCAATAAGAAGGAGCACAAGGGCTCGTCCAACGGGTGCGACAGTCCTGAGCCCGACGACTCTCAATACACTTTGACTCCAAGAACTGAAGCCAAATATAATAAAATCAATGAAGAGTTTGAACTCATGATGCAAAGGAACGCCGCACATATTAATGGCAACAGAGTGAGCACCCGTTCCCCCACCTCTCAGCCTCCCGTTCCCCCACCTCTCAGCCTCCCGTTCCCTCTCTTCTCTATTAGTCCATAACATATCTCACATAATCATCACATTCTCTAAACATTATTCATTATTTCTATCAAATCTAAACATAATTTATTTTATGGTTTAGTCAACACCGACATCAGGAATGAATCAATCGTCCGGAATATCTCCCATTCCCGTGACTCTGCCCTTAAACTCTTCGCCATACGGGCCTCAGGATTCTAGTCTATTGCAAAGCACTCAACTCTCACCTCATTCTTCATGTGTTAGTCCCCGACCCAGTTCTTCAAGTAAATCACTATTTAGTTATTGTCATACTATAAGCACTTATCTAATGGACACAACTTTCCAATTTAGACGCAATGCTTGATATGACAAATCCGACCACAAATACTAACGGATACCATCGCTCCTGTTCTCCATCAGCGCTGTCAGGAAGCAGTTCTCCAAACCTGGTGTCCGTCAAACAGGTTCATGCGGTCAAGAACTCCACACCCAATGGTACGACAGGCGCTAACCGAGGAATGCGAGTCGTTATGTCTAATTCACACAACAATTTAGTGAGTTATCAATGTCGCCGCCAATGAACCAAATGTTAATTTTAATATATTGTTTACTCTGAAGACACCCCGAAATGGCATCTTAGGAAACACAGCAATCTCTGTGACCACTTCTATCCCCGGTATGCCTGGCTATCCGTCCTCTTTAGGCTCTTTTGGTCCGAGTAAGTAACCACTGATCACCAATTCACCAAGTATGATTGTTGTAGTTAACCACGTTTACTTTTAATTAGATGACTTTCAACTGAATTCGGAGTTAGCACTGGCAGGTTTCAACTCTCCAGGTCTACTCCATAACTGGTCGTCTCAGCACTCACTCGGTTTAACACACGGAGGGTATGATCAATGAATGAGGTTCTGTGGTATTTGTGTGGCTTAATAGAGATATTTGTTGTGATAATATGTAGCGCTTCACAACCTGGTAACGCAGGCCTTCCCCACCTGTCTGTGAGCAGTAGTACACCCCCGCCCTCATCGTCTCCGCTATCTATAAAAGTGAAGAGTGAACCGATATCACCACCGCGTGATGGCACACATCCCCAACACGCAAGTCTGGGTCCGTTACAGAGGCCCCCTTCGAGCACAACCGGCCATTTATCTCCAGGACACCCATTGACACCATCGACATCATCCTCACCCGACCCATCCGGCAGTTCTGACTATGAGGGGCCCATTCAGAAGCGAATAAGGGTTACGGCTGACGGCTGGCCCGCTTAACACTGACTGACTGTTCACTATTTGTTTGATTAGAGAATATTTTATCAAAGTTTCATAAATCAGATGCGAAATGATTTGAAAAACTGATTGTTTGTAATAAATGACATTTAGATTCAGTTGACTCTCTAATACTGAAAGCTTATCGAGAGTTAAAGTGATTTGAAGAAGAATTGGAGATATTGTGTCCACATATTGGATACAATGAAGTGATTGAGAGTCCACTTATAATAAACATGTCTTTGAAGTAAAAATGTTTGTGAAATAAATTCGTTGAAACAGTGCTCAGAAGGAGTGGAACAGCGACTCAATGTATTATATAATCCCTGACTTTTAGCACAGCTTTCAAGTTATCACAAATGGAAAGCATTTAAATATTGGATTTCATAAGACTTAATAAGACTTTTGGCTGCCTTTAATCAAACAAACCTCCTGTGTTGTGACCCCCATTCAAATGCCTTCACAACGAGTGCATAACAGATATAACAGATCAGAACAAACATACAAATGGCTAATAATTGAACATAACTTAACCGAACCGCCGATGACATCACTATCAACTGTCTCTCTCTCGACTTGTATTGTCTTAAAGTTGGACACCAGAGCTCCCGACCGCTCATACATCTGAGGACCAATGTTTGACTCATACGTACTGTACATTACAGTACAGTTGCCTTTATTTATAACTAACTGATAATCGATCGGTTGTACACTTTTGGCCAACTTTTCTAACTTTTCAATAGAGAATCATTGAATTGTGACATTTGATGAGATGATTACAAGCAAATGATGGTTTAATTGTCTGTATAGTCGTTATGATAATGAATGTAATTACAGCTAATGGTAACAGAATTTTCAATGGCCTTCAATCTGACCACTGCTTCATAGAGTAAATCGCAGACAACTAACAAATAAGACATTTATTGGATAATTAGTGAGATTTTCTTCCTAGTGATTAGTGATTACATTATTGCCAATAGTTATGTGTTTTTACTAATTAATCAAATGCTTATTAATTATGAATATTAATACAATTGTTGAGAAACACATTAAGTGCCACTGCTGTTGATATTTTAAAGATCTAATAATTATTGTACACCTAATCTATTGATACAATATTTCACAATTTAATTCATATTTCAAATGTTTCCTAATATAAGATAATATATTATGTTTCATATTAATATATTTGAAATTCACTTTCAATGTTTAATTCATCGATTGGTTAAACAGTATTATATGTATGAATATTAAGTAGAAAATTGTTGTTGAAATTGCATTCTTGTTAACAATAATAATAATAAAGTAAACACCAAATTATGTCTAGGATTGGAAAATGACTTCTTAGGACAAAATGAATTGAGTTATGTTACAAAAAACTATTTATGAAACTTAGTTACTTAACAAATCAAACAAATAAACTAAGAAAAGGGCATTTATTACAATCATCACATGTTACAGTTGTAATAAACAGGGACAAGAATATTGTTAAATAATGAGTAATCGAAATGATATTTGAAATGTGCAATTGCTTTCAAATGGGGCTTAAATCTAAACGTAATTGTACCGGACACTGATGTTCTACCAATATATATATAAATATATACAGTATATATACATATTATAAATATTATGTATTATACCATTGTTTAGATGTATTTTATTTCATGATTTTAATTGTGTGATTGAAAAGCGTTTTAAAATTTCTAATCAATTATACAATATATTGAGTTATTTTGATGTCCTTTCATAAAATGGATTTTTTTAGTTTTCATTTTTTTCAGCGTTTCATTGAATCTTAATCTAAATTTACTAACTTTTATGTCAAACAAACATTTATTTAGTTTTAATGTATGGAATCATATAATAATTTCATTAATTCATTCAAATATGAGTCCATTTGTCATTATATAAGATTATATTAATATATAAAACCAGATTTTAGAGCGATTTGTGCAGTGATTATATATAGAATTGTTGAAATTTCTGCTAATTTAAAACAAATGAAATTTATTTTCATCTAATCTTATATTAAATTTATTGATAAAATGAAGTCTATTTAAAATGTTAAACAAAACTAAAATACGAGAAAATATAAATTTGTTAAACAAATAAGAATTTTAAAACTATTTAAAAACAAATTCTTGAAACACTTTATTTGTCGGTTTATTTGATTTCCTTTTTGTAATGTTTTAGACTAAGTCTTAATTTAATTGAAATTGTTTTTTACATAAAAATAACACCAATTTTAGTATAAGTTTCATCTAAAGGCAGCTTTTCATACAATAGATTGATTTGAAGTTTTGTTTTTTTCTTGAAAAATTTTAATTTGTAAATAATTAATGTGTAGAATAATTAATATTAATTTACTCTTATATCAATGAAATATTCTTTTGAGTATATTATGTAAATGTTTCCCAACAAAAAATACTAAACATTGTGTGTATTATTTGATTATTTGATTTCCCATTTGCAACAAAAATAAAAGATTAAT